CTAAACCCCTAAACGCCTAAACGCTTCCAGGGCCTCAGAGGCGGCCATCCTCCGACCAGACAGCGCCAGTTCCCGGACGAGGCTCCTGGGTTTTCATACGACATGGGGTTTAGGGTTTAGGGGGGTTTGGGGCTCAGGGATACTAGGGTTTTGGGCCTTAGGGATTTAGGGCTTAGCGTTTAGAGCCCCTAGGGCTTGGGGTTTTAAGGTTTTGGGATGCTGTTGAGCTTTGGATTTAGGGTTCCATACTGTTGATGGACAAAATTCTGCATGACCCAAATATAGTATAGTATCATAAATCCCATAGTTTAGGTATATAAGGTCATGCAGGATTTTGTCCACCAACCGTACTATCTAGGGACAATAGGCTTAGGGTTTAGGGTCTCATGCTGTGCAGGGCTTGTGAGAGGTTATTTAATCGGTGATTTGCTGGGGTTCTTACCCCCAGGCTTTAAGAACATGCTTATTGAACGGTGTTTTGGGCCCTAAGACGTGTAAGGCTTCTGACAGAAATTTTGGGGGATGTCTGGAAAAAAGGGGTCTGTTGTTGGAGGTCCTTTCACAAAAGAAAACTCCCAGATGAGGATCTCTGTATAATTTATGGTCTAAAACTCCCTCATCATGCTTTACAAGTCCATGCGAGTATGTACCAATTTGTATACACCGTTACAACAGAGACGTGCTCATACTTACGCATACGCGTACGCATGGGCACACATGCACACCAAAATACATGCATACCCACCTAGCCACGTGCCGTGCCCCCAGCCCCTTCCTCCTCCTCCCCCAACTTTAATGGTTCCCCACCCTAAACCCTGAACCCCCTAAACCCTAAACCCTGCCGAAACTCCGAAGGTCAAGGTGGCACAGGGATGATCACACGCAGAACCTACCTACCTACCTACCTACCTACCTACCTACCTACCTCCCTGCCTGCCTGCCTGCCTGCCTGCCTACCTACCTACCTACGTACCTACCTACCTACCTACCTACCTACCTACCTACCTACCTACCTACCTACCTACCTACCTACCTACCTATATATATATATATACATATACACATCCAACCAAATAAGTGGGCAAACGAAGAAATTAACAAACGAACACACGACCAAACGCATTCAGAATTGCTTACACGCATACATGCATAATTGTATGCATTACATAGCTACCTGAATCCTGAACCAGAAGCTCGAAACCCCACAGCCCCAAACCCTAAAACCATCTGAGCATCTGGTTCCCAATGATCTTCGGAAGGCGTTGCAGACCGCCCACATCTGCAGCCAAGCCGACGTCGACTTCAGCGGCTTGGAAGTAAGCATCCTCGTCAGGGCTTACTGGTTTTGGGTCTAGGAGCGTTTAAGGTTTTTCAGGCACTTGTATTGTTTTCTATTACAGGTTACTTGCTGAATAACAGGGCTTAAACTTTAGGGCTAGGGTTTTCATAAGGGTTGGGGCTTTACGGCTTAGGCTTTGCAGCGTCTTCAATCCCAAACCTTATAAACTCTAGACTTGAAGGTTCAGGGAACTCGGGCAGTAAGGGCTCCACCAATGTTCGTGCTAGGATGCTAGTAGCGTCAAGGACTTGTAAGTTTCGGGACTTACAGCAGGGACTTACTGGCTTGGAGTTTTAGGGTTTAGGGTTTAGGGTCGGTCATGAGATGTCATGAGATGTAGGGTTTCGGGCTTCCAGCACCATGTTGACCCTCCTTCCCCTCTGCCAAGACCGACAAACAGATCTATTTACGCATGTGTATGAACTGGAATGCCACTGGGCTTCTAGGGTAGTTGGGCAAGAAGCTACAAAAGGCCGCCCCACATGAGGACCTGTTGAAAAACAAAAACAGACCTACATCCTAAATCTTGTAAAAACCCGACGGAACCACTGTTTAGGGTACCGTTCCGGTCTTTGAAATATTGCAACTCGCAAAGCCTCAGAGTCCTGCTCCTGCTGCCCGAAACCGAAAGCCCCACACCTTGTAGCCGCTGCAGCCCTAAGGCTCTAGTCTACCCCCTTTTAAGAACCTTCCCTCTTCAGGGAAAACATATGTGCCATAAGTATATATATATATATATAATGAAAACCTGGTTATACATATATATATATATGTATATATATATATATGTATATATATATATACACATATCAAGTGGATAGGTTTTACAGAGTCGGAGGTAGGACAGAACCCGTTTGTGAGCCTTCAAGAATCCCCTTTAAAGGCCACCTTCGGTTCCGCACGCGGCTTACCCTAAACCCCAAGTCCTAAACCCTATAAACTCTATCAACCCTAAACCCTAAACCCTACTAAGAGCTGCGATCCTCCGTGCAGAAGCGGACGTCACAGGCCGTTATCATCCTCGGATCTCCTACAGGGTCCTATGTACTGTTATGGGGGATACTTCCCTAAATGATAATAGTAACTCCTGGTATAGAAACCCTACATTCTACTATATAGGTACATAGAACCCTTTGGTCTGAGTCGGTTTGATGGTTCTCTTTACGGGCTCGTTTTAAGTGTCCAATAAGGGCTCCAGAAGGATTCGGTGATAAGAGGCTTCAGGGTTTCAGCATGTTTGAGCTTTAGGGCAAACATAGACTCCTATAGGGTCCATGCAACTATATGGTATATACTATGGCCTTTTTGACGAGTTTCTAAACAAAGGCAAGCGGGAGTTGTCAGACTAGCCGACCCAGAGGAAACCGAAGTGCAGGCTGGGTTTGCGGATGTGGACTTCGTTTTGTGCTAAGGAGGGTGCCAAAACCCTAAACCCTAAACCCAAAACCCAAAACCCAAAACCCTGAACCCTGAACCCTGAACCCTAAACCCTAAACCAGCATTTGGGCCGAATCCTCGGGTTTCGAGAAGTCCGAGGCAAGGAACGCTCAGCAACTCCAACATCTTCAGAGCAGACCCTAACCCCCCAGGTACCTACTATATAGGGCCCTAGGGGCTCCAGTACCCTATATAGTAGGTACCTGGGGGGTTAGGGAGATAGATACACTCGTCAACACGAGACCCGAAACTGAACAGATTGCAAAGCCCCTTTAACACTCTTAAGCCTGGAGTAATATAGGCGCCTTAATAATCAGAATAGGGTTTGGGTCTTCTGTATAGTATAATTATAGTTAGGAACCCCAAGGAATAGTATTGGTATTTATTGAGGCTTCTATATTACACTTAAACCCTAAACCCTCAACCCAAAATCTAACGATCGAAGAACTTGTTCATCCAAGAGAGGTGCTACATCAATTCTGCCGTCACAATGCCCAGCATTACCGGTCTTTTGCGGTTCTCATAGCATGTAGGAGTCCGACCCAGGAGCCGGATGTTCCATACCCCAAGATCCCCTGTTTCACGCCACTTGATCAGCTTCCTTGGGTGTTGGGTTTAGGGCGTTTCGGTAACCGTAAACCTCAACAGATTCACATGTGCCAGCATCAACCGCCTTTTATAGACTGGGGAAAGGGCTCTCCATCAGTACCAGCCTTCTGTAGCCTGGGTTCTTGAAAAGGAACTCATAAAGCTACCAGTCTAAGTAAACCAAAGTAGTTACCAAGCTTGTGTAGCTTCAGGTGAAGGCCCGGTTGACAGACGTATAGGCCTGGTCCCAAATGACGTCTGATTTACTTTAGACTCCAAGGAAGAAGAAAACATACGCCCAGAAGGGTAGGTCAAACCGGAAGGTCTTGTCCCAACAGCCTAAACACCGACGCTGGAGTGTTGTCATTTTGTTTCGCTTCAACAAAATACCTTTCGAACCAAGGGCCTGAGCCCTAATCCCCAAAACCCTCAACCCTCCACCCTGAAACCGGGCTCAGGGTTCAGGCTTACCCATAGGCCCCATAGTAGTTCGATTTTGGGGTTCATGTTTAGAATCCTATAATCAGGTAATCCCAAAAAGGAACTACTATGGGGCCTATGGGTAGGCTTAACCTTGTCCCTGAACCCGAGATAGTGCTTCCGGATATGCCAGGATTCTCCAAGCCAGCTCCAACCACGGCACCGTGCACGCAGCCAATCACCGCTTTGCCGCAGGCTTCCTCGGCGTGCTTTCCATGCCCTAATCTCACGGTTTCTTTCGGAGGGCAATAAATGCAAGAATAGTCGTAGTAACCGTAGTAAAGACTTTTAGTGCTTAGGCGCTTCGGGTTCCGGGAGTTGGGTTTAGGGTTTTAGAGGGTATGCTTTCGGTGATGGGTGACGTTTTTGACGCAGGAAAAACTTCGCGCTTCTGCTAAGAAGAGTGAGCGAGCGGTGCCAACAAGTAAGCACTATACGAGAGATACGACTTGGGTATGAGCAGCACAGAACTGTAGACTCCGAATCCTAGCAAGGTTGGGCTGTAGAGTGTGAGATCGGGAGTCTCCAGATAGGACCTGTAGCAAGGGGTGCAGAGATAGGAGGGACATCGAAGGGCCATGTAGCAGGGGGGTGCTTCGGGGGTCCGGTAGTAATTACCTGTAGTAGACTTCCGCACAAGCCTGCACTCATTGGAGTCTGCTCAGCAGAGGGCTTCATTCATGCAGATTGGGGGTTTATCCTTGGGCTTTAGTGTTTAGGTTGGGCTTCAGGTTTTGAAGTGCAACCGGTATCACGACTCAGCCCAATTCCAAGGGCAGCTCTCTGACTCTTTGCACCTATGATCGCTGAAAGTGCGTTCACCTCCTTATACGTCGTTACGACACCCTCAACCTTGCAACGCAAGCCATGGATCATGATTCAGGACTCCCTGAGCCCATACCTAAAGTCTCCACTGTAGTTCCTTACCATAGGCAACCTAAACAAGGAACTACAATGGAGACTA